GCCATTTGGTTAGTTGACTTCCCAAAAAGGGGAGCACCAGGTGGATGGGAGTTGGAGCTCAGAGGTTGTCTACACCATTCCAGCCTCCGATGATCTTGACGCTATTGACGATGCCCTCGGGGGTACCCTCTTACATGCCAAGGAGGAATGCACTTAGTAGGCGTAGCTTGTTACATCGGTGATGAATCTTTTGGATGGTCAGATCACCGAGGAATTGTGGGTGGATATTCAGGAGGAGATTATGGGAATGATCCACCCTACAGCTACTTTTGTGATGGTTTCTAGGTAAATAATGAAATCTTGTAGACATCAGATTTCTACTCGGCTGCAAACGTCCATGATGAACTTTTTGGCCTCTCAAAAGGCATTTACCAGCAGTGGAGAGAGTAGTAGGCATGTATGCTTATTTATATATGTAAAAAATGACTATACATGCACAACACTAAATGCATGATTCTAAACTAAAATTATTTTACTGTTAGAATGAATATGATGTCATTAGGAGCACGAGTTGTAGGGATGGAGACGTCAGTAACAACGTAGATGATGACATGCATGGGGCGGATGACCTGAATTATTGATTTTTTATTCTTTTTATTTTTTTATTTTTGTATCTTGGACATCCTTATATTGGAGATTATGATATTTTTGTATACTTTATATCCTAAACTCGTGTTTGTTGGAGTTGTGAGATGTATGTAGGTATGGATGTGGATCTTTTCTGGACTTTAGCATGTTTATGTGAGTATGTATGTTGGTATATGATGTATGTGAATATAGATATTTTGTGAGATATATGGATGATTATCATATTGTTTGTGTGGTTTGTTAAATGTTTGTGGAGATTTTATAAAATTTGGGCTTGTGGAAGTTTCGAATGTAGTGTGTGGATATTTGTGAGATATTAGTTATGAAATGTGCAGGGAATTTGTGAAATTTGAATGTATGCGAGATGTTTGTAGAGATTTTGTGAAATTTGGATTGTGAAAATGTTGAATGTAGTGTATGGATGTATGTGAAATATTAGTTATGGAATGTGTAGAGAATTTTAAATTTATGATTTAATATGTACAGGGAAAAATATATTGTTTCAGCAGTATTTCTTTTTGCTGATTATAAACATACTTGATTGGATTGTCGTCAAGGATGTATATCCTTGACGCAACCCCGTCAAGATGTATATAATATCATTGACAAGACAGTCATCAAGGTGAGTCATTCCTAACGTCGTCCCCATCAAGAATGATATAAACATCACTCACGAAAAGCCTGTCAATGATGTGCATCCCTGTCAGCTAACTGTCAGAGATTGTGCAAGAAAACTAACGGAAAATTTGTCAGTCACGCTTATCCTTGACTGTTTGCTTGTCAAGAATGTGAAAACATCAAGAATATGCATCCTTAACAAGCTGCCATGGCGTATCCTTAACAAGAATTAAAGGAACCCTGTCGTGGATGTTACTTTCCTGACGGGACTTTTACTGATGGCGTATCCTTAACAAGCTGCCATCAAGATTATGCATCCTTGACGGTATTTGTAGCATCCTTGACTGGAAAGCCCATCAAGGATACGCAAATTTCTACTTAGATTTAAATTTAAATAGAATAGTACCAGATTATTTAGATTTAAATAATAACGTGTTTGTATCAAATTTTTGGAGAGGATTATACCGGATTCTTTAGTCCTTAAAAATAAAATAGTACCAAAAATTTTTATTAAGAGTCTGCTTGTTTGCACAGAAGTAATTATGAAGTAGCTGAAGTAAATAAAGTAGAGGCTACTTCTGCTACTTCCAAGTAAAAAATTATGTTTGTTTTTCTGAAAAACTTACTTCCAATACTTTCTAAAAAAAATTCCACCTCTCAAGGCTTGGAAGTAATTTAGAAGTAAGTGAAATGCATATTAATTAGGAAATAACTAATTTTGTTATTAATATTTCTTTTATTAGTTACTTCCTAATAGCTTTTTAATTCTATCCAAATAAAAAAGAGATGGAAGAATAAGAATTACTATTTCCACTACTTTACAAAATATGTGAAACAAACAAAAAAGTTTCTACTTCCACCAGATCATACATCATAAATTTACAACTTACTTCTTTGATCTATTTTCTACTTCCGATATTTCTGTGAAAACAATCGAAGGAGGTGAAGGAGTGTTATTATAATCCTCCGAATATTTGTCAGTTAAGATTAGATGCTAAAAAAAATGCTACAGACACACCTCCGGCCACACCACCAGCCACACCCCTCACCCGCTCCCTTACCCCTAAACATTCCTATATGTTACCTGGCATTTCCCTCTTTGCTTTTTTCTCTCGCCCGCTTCTTCTCATTCCTTCTTATTGTTTCACATGGGTTTCTTCTCACCTCTCTCTCTCTCTCTCTCTCTCTCTCAATCCTCATCTGCAATCTTCAAAGATATGTGACAGTTCAATTTACAAGTATGAAATTTAGCATTTATCAGGTTACTTTCTTCATCTAGTGTTTGATAAACAAGACAAACAAACAAAAAAACAAAACTTTAGGAGAATTTTCATTGTTATCCGAATCAAGTTTTCACCCTATTAATTATGTGGAGTTTGAAAATCATCACGCTGCTCCTCCCTTTTCTTCCTTTTGCATTTTTTAACTAACGGTAACATTTCATGCATGGCTCACATGCATGTTGCTATTACTTACTATGCGTTCATTCTTTGATCATGAAACGGTTTGGCAGATGCAAACTTTTCAAGAAATCTCACATCATACTGTGAAGTTTTGAATAATCATATTTGTCATATTTGATCCGGCTATATAATTTTTTTTTTTGGTCAATGAACAGTAACTTTATTCATCTTCCAAATGTGAAAATACATCATATCAAGATCTCAGTTGAACTGAGAATTACAAAACAATCCAAAACAACTTACATCTCTTTTACTCAAGCCTACAAAGCACATATCCATTCTCTATTTTCAGCAGCAAAAGGACCATTAAGAATAATAGCAAAAATGTTGAATTTGATCTCTTTGAATAGCTGATCAGCTGACTTCAATTCATGCTGAAAAATCCTGGCATTCCTCTCATTCCATATGCTATAAATTGATGAGGTAAGAGCCAATTTCTTTAGTTTTTGCTTAAAGCCTCTCCCCCTCAACTTGAAACAAAACCAGTTCAAAATTTGATCCCACTTGCACGATCTCCACCTGAACTGCAGCCAATTCATAACCACGACCCACACATCTTTAGAGTAGCAACATTCAAAAAAAAAGATGATCCCTGCTCTCAGAACCAGAGGAAAAATTGTAGTTGTTTATGTTAATAATACCCCTCCTAATCAATCTGTCTTGAGTGAGCAAACGATTCTGAAATGCTAACCAACTGATAAATGCATGTCGGGGGTAATTAGAGGACTCCCACACTATGTCAAACCAAGGCACCAAGGTAGATACAGGGGGGATAGCATCATATAAAGCAGACAGTTGTATTTTTGAATTCCTGCGGCAAGATTGAATGATCAACTTTAGATTATCACCACTTCCAAAATGTCCCTGGGCCATATCTCTAACCTTCAAGATCTGTTTCCACATCCACGAATCACTATTTTTTGCTTGAACATGCCAGACATCACAGTTTTTTAAATATGTACCATGTATCCACTTGATCCATAGATTTTCTTTGCTTACTTGTATATTCCAGATTAACCTCAGTGTTGCAGCTGTACTCCATATAGATGCAGAATAGAAGCCTAGGCCTCCAAATTTCTTATTCAAGCAAATTTGATCCCATGAAATAAGAGGAGTTTTGTGAGCTTGTTCAGAATTGCCCTAGAGAAAATTCCTGCATAGTTCGTCAATTTTCTGAAGCACTCTAACCGACAGAACATAATTTGAAATCCAGTAATTTTGTATACCAAGGATAACACTTTTGATTATTTGTAATCTACCTGCATAAGACAGAGATCTGTTTTTTAGACAAGACTAGAATTGGCCTGTAATCTTGTTGAAGAGAGTGGAGCAATCCATGTACGATAAACGTTTACAGATCAGAGGAACACCCAGATATGTGATGGGTAAAACTCCTTCAGAGAAATTTAGAAGGTTTGAAACAAGGCCTTTTAGATTATCATCAATGCCTCCATAAAAAGCTTTGCATTTTCCAGGATTTGCCTCAAGACCTGATACAGCACTAAAATGTTTAAAGCACTTGTGAAGCAAATTGAGTGAATAAAGATCACCTTTAGAGAAGAGGAGAAGGTCACCCGCAAAAATTAAATGAGTGATTTTGAGATTTCCACATCTAGGATGGAATTTTAAAGACTTGTTATCCTTGAGTAAATCCAACTTCCTTAAGAGATACTCCATACTCAAGTTGAACAAGTATGGTGAGAGGGGATCACCTTGTCTTAAACCCCTCTCACCTTTGAAGTAGCCATGAAGAGTACCATTTAAAGAAATGGAATACTTGAGGGTAGTAATGCAGGCCATAATCCAATTAACCATCTTGACTGGAAATCCAAGGCCTTTAAGCATATCATTTAAAATATCCTAGTTAATAGTGTCAAATGCTTTTTTGATATCAATGCTCAACATAATTCTGGGAGAGATATGTTTTCTGCTATAGTTTTTTTAGTATCACATGAGCTAGTAAGATGTTACTTGAGATTTGCCTACCTCTCACAAAAGCACTTTGAGCCTTGTTAATCAAAATCCTCATAACAGATTTAATCCTGTTAGCTAGAATTTTTGAAATTATCTTATAAAGACAATTGCAGCAGACAATGGGTCTGAAATTTGATGGAGTCTTAGGACACTTTATTTTTGGAATCAAAGTGATTGATGTAGCATTGATCATTCCTAGTAGCTTGCCAATTCTAAAGAAATCATTTATGGCTTTAGTTACCTCATCCCCAATGTTATGCCAGGCAGATTTATAGAATGTCATACTATACCCATCAGGCCCAGGAGCTTTATCATCACCCATAGAGAAGACTGCACTTTTAATTTCCTCCTTGGACACTAGAGAAGACAGGAACTAGCTTGAGCCTCATCCAGACATGGACCATTGGAAATGATATCACCATCAGGCCTAGATGTTTTTGTAGATGAGCCCATGAGACTCTTATAAAAAGAAACAAACTCCTGAATTATCTCTTCACCATCAGTTAGTCTGCATCCTGCATTATTGTATAGCACCATTACTCTATTGAGATGTCTTTTAGCTTTAATTGCAGAATGAAAGAAGTTTGTACATCTATCTCCCTGCACATTCCACTGGATTCTGGATTTCTGATGATAGAATGATAGTTCACAGTCCAAAAGTTTGTTGTATAAAGCAAAGCACTCTTTTTCTTGATTAATCAAATCAGTATTGAGAGGGTCCTCCTGTAGATTATTTTGCATATTTTCCAGATTAATTCTAGCCCTGATCACTTTCTCACTGATATTGTGAAAACTCCTTTTGTTTAAATCCTTCAGTGCATTCTTCAGTAGCTTCAGTTTGCTTGCAACAGAAAACATAGCACATCCTGCAATTGAGTTTTGCCATACAGAAGAAATAATAGGCAAGTAGTTTTCATGCTTATTCCACATCTTGAAAAACTTAAATGGCTTCTTTCCTTGCACACAGTTATCATATATTGAAAGTAGAGCTGGGGAGTGATCAGAGCAACTGGGAGGAAGATACTCAACATGGCTAGAGTTATGCAAATTGATCCAAGAGTCATTAACCAAAGTTCTATCCAATCTACTCCAAACCCTGAAATTAGAGTCTTGTTTATTATTCCATGTATAGTAGCAGCCATCAGTTTTTAAATGTGACAATTGACAATTGTCAATAAATTCCCTAAAATCAATAGTTACAGCTTCAGTAACTGCAAGGCCACCAATTTTATCCTCTTGCCCAGTAATAGTATTGAAATCACCAGATAGAATACATGCTTTGTTCCCAACTGACTGTTGAATTTGAAAAAGATCTTTCCAAAGAACCTTCCTATTTTCTTGATGATTATGTCCATATATAGAGGTAACTAAACAATCAATTCTACCATCCAGGGATTTAACTGAACAGGAAATAAGCTGGGTAGAAACCCTATCAACATGAACATCCAGAGTATTTGGATCCCATAAAATCAGTAATCTGGCTTTACTAGAACTATTTGCATTAGAAATCCACTTCCAGTTACTATGTAACTTCTTTATTATAGCAGGAAGCTTGTCAAGCTTGATTTTTACTTCAATGGGAGCTATAAAAGAGATATGATGTTGTTGTATATGGAGCTTAACCAAATGTTGTTTAGAGGACTTATTTAGCCCTTTAATATTCCAAAAAGAGATATTCATATTTCTAGAACATCCCCTCCATTAATATTTAGGGGGTCATCCACCAGTTTATTGAGGTGATCAAAGGAGTTTTCAAGAGATGGAAAGCTCCTAATTCCAGATTTATGCATATTTGCCTAATTCCTGCTAGCTTGGGAATTTTTGCCTACTATAGAATTCCAAATTCCATGGTCCTAAACATGCACAGCATGCACCAAATTATTTACTGAGGTGCACAAATTTTGCTCAGCCTGTGAATGTATCCCCCTAGGTAATAATCCAGAAAATTGATCCTGAACATGCACAATGTGCACAGAGTCCAGATTGTTGAGCCTCAAACTTTTCTGACCTGATGGTTTGCATCTGTCATCTGACAGGCCAGATTGTATTTCCTTCAACTTGAGGTCACCTTGATCATGATCTTGGGCATGTACAGTATGCACAAGATTATTTATTGGAGAGCACTCCTTATTATGTGAATTTACCCCTCCAATTGAATCCCCAGAAATAAGTTTATGCATTTGGACAGCATTATCTCCACCTGAACACTGTTCTCCTTTCAAGACAGGTTTAGTCCCCAAAACTCCAGGGTCAGCTTGATTTATAGGTTTTGATTTTTGGACCCATCTTTTAGTAATGGGGTATCTCTTACAAAACTCTGTATCATGCCCCAGAAGTTTGCAACTATTACACCATTTAGGCTTAAGCTCATAAATCACCTTTTGATTAAAATTTTTACCATTTGGATCATGAATAGGAATTATGTCTGGAAGAGGTGAAGGCATATGAACTTCAACTAAAACTCTAGCATAAGCCAATCTTTGTTTGTTAGCAGTTAACTTGTCTATGGCAATGGGCCTCCCAACTTGACTAGTTATTTTACTTATTGCATTTGAGCTCCATAGGTTTAATCTCAGTCCAGGCAACTGTATCCATAGGGGGTAAACATTATCATTTATCCTTTCTATATCTTCATCATTAGACCAAACTTTCAATAGGAGGGGTCTAGAACCAAATAACCAGGGGCCATTCACTAAAATATCATCCATTTCCTCTTTGGTCTTGAATTTGAACAAGAATAAGCCTGATTTAAGCAGACACACTTCAGGCACTGACCAATGAGTCCAGACTTTTTGAACATAGGTTTCCATAGCCTTAAATTTTACATTTAATCCTAATACTTGGCCAATTAAAGAAAATTGCCAATTTGAATTGCCTTCATTTCATTCCTCCTCACTAAAAGTCACAAAATCTTTGTTCTCAGGTGTCAAAAATTCAATGACATACCACAAACATGTCTTGCTATTGTCGGCAAAAAGACTTGACCAACTTTTCTTATCGGCTCTGTTTTATAGCGGCTCAGTGATTTCAGGTTCCAAAGGAGACACAATTTTGTTATCAATCTTAATCTTATCATGATCTAAAGAAACAGATTCAAGAATTGAATTCAAATTCTTAGATCTAATAGCAGGAGCATTCATCACATTTGAATTAGATGCAATAGTAGTAGAATCAAGAACATGCATCTCTTTCTGTAAAAATTTTGGTGAACTTGGATCAAAAGATCTAGCCGAAATCAAAACTGATTGTTGCTGACCAGATGATTCAAAATCAACCTTATCAGCCCAAGAAATCTTACCGGATCCACTTGCACCAGAATTCAAGATCGGAGATCCACTGAGTGTAGCTTCTTGATCTCCACCAATCGCTTCATTGCAAGAGAGATTCCTAACTTAAGGAATTTGAGATCCAAACATCTGAGAGCGAGTCTGAGGTTGAGAATCAACAAGAAATCTATCAGATCTGAGAATCTTGTTCAACGATTTCTTCTTCTTCTCGCCACAAGGTCCAGTTGACCCCATGATCTCAGAGCTCAATATTACATCATCTTCATCAAATCTTGAATCTGAATTATCCTCCAAGGATTGAGAACCAGATCGTAATCCTATACTAAAATTTTTTTTTTTTTCGTCATTTTCCAAGGCGGGGGCGTATGTTAGCAGGACGAAAATCGCCTGTTAACGTGTGCCAAGAGACCGCCCAATTATTCATCTGGCAATATATGTTTTGGCAGGAAGGACAATTTTATCATTTGCTATTATTTCTTTATCCTATACCCCTTTATACTGTCAGGCTTCTAAACATGATATAGATATTAGAGGTGTTAATAACAATTGAGCTAAATATATTATTAAAATTTTAATTCAAATATATTGTCAAAATTTTAACTAATTATTGTCTCCTGGATTATTATATCCCAAGACTAAAATGAGTTAAATTAGTCCAACGATAAAACAAGTCTCTAATTTAAGCATGGCTTAGGCCTTTCACTTATAAAATACTTGTTATACATATCTTAGGAAGTGTTTGGCAACTTCCCTACTATTCAGGTTAGTGGAGTCAACCTAGTTGAAGGGTTGAATTATTATTTGGTTGAAATTGTAACAACTGCAAACTTGATCTTTTTTTTTTTTCAAGTTCCAATTTAGACCCTTAATCGGGTTACGATTCAACCACACCCCTGCCTAGGTCATAACTTGAATTTCTTAGTGGAGAGTAACCATTATTCTTGGAAATAAACCGCATATAAAAAGTGATCTCTCTCACCAACAAGTCGGCCTTAGCCGCTATAGACGAAGTCCCTCTATAATTAACCAAGTCCAAAACTAGTGACGGATGTAAGTAATAAGATTCCTTCATTTTTAACCCCAAACATGACAAAGAAAACCCTTATCATTTGAGCTTAAAGTCAACCCAATTCCCTCCCCGCCCAGGCAATTTGAACGTTCCAGGTCCTAACAACTCCCATAAAATAACAAAACAACTCACGTCACCACCCGCTACTTAAACAAGCAAGCAGCTCCCTTATCCATCCAATTCCATCTCAAACTCTCTTTCTAACAATGTATTCCTTTAACAACAACAACATCCTCCCAATCTCCTCAAACCCAAGTTCACCAGCAAAAGACTGGCCGACTGCCGAAAAGCCCGATCCCCGTCGACGGCGAATCTGCATCGGTCTCTCTGCTGTGGCCATGGCCGCAATCGCCGCGACCATCCTCATCCTCGCTTTCACAGTATACAAAGTTAGAGAGCCAACAATGAGACTGAACTCCGTCAACTTCAAAGACCTCGACCTCACTAAGAACCTAACCGTCGTAGCCGATGTGTCGGTCAAGAACCCTAATGCACTCCCCTTCAAGTTCAAATCAAGCACAACGACACTTCTGTATCGGACCAAACAAGTCGGGGTGGCTTATGGGCCGCCAGGGCAAGTTGGGGCTCGTGGGACGCTGCGGACCAACGTGACGATGAACGTGATTTCAAGCAAATTGGTCGGAGATTCGAAGTTCATGGAGGACGTGGGGAAAGGGTCGCTTGAGCTCGAGACGTCGACGATGGTGGGAGGGAAGGTGACGATATTGGGGATATTCAAGAGGCATGTGGATGTGATGATGAAGTGTAGCGTGAGTGTTGAGATTGGGAGCCAGAAGATTCTTGATCAGCACTGCGCTCAAAGGATGTGGCTGTGATCGGAGGAAGTAGTAATTGGAAAGCGTTAAACATTCTCCTACTCCTTTTTTTTACCTTTTTTTTAGTGGGAGATGCTAAATTGGGGGATTGAGACCATTTGTTAGCACAATTGTGGGATTAAATTGTTGCCCAATGAGGGCACTGGATAGCATTTGAAAATGTGGTCTTGAGGGATTTGTTGAAGTAGTGGAAATCTCCAGGATCCGGAAACCACTGTTAAATGATAATTTTGCCATGATTTTTGAGCGCGTAGTGTGAAACATTGTAACTCTTAAGCTCTGACTACGAAATCTTAAGTTTTAGTGCAATGATAAAGTCATTTTACATGATATCATAGCAATCTGGAATTCTGGTGTAATGACATGGTCTATTAACATTATAGCAGAGCAATCTAATTTCCTGTTTTGCTCACGAATTTCTAAAACAAATTAAAAATATATATTACTGGCATGGTGTATATTTCAGCCTATTCAAGGGCCTCAACCCTGCGTGAGGAGCATGTTAAAATATATAGTTATTACTCATAACTAGGGATGCATTCTGTCGGATATGGTTTGGATATCACACTTATCATATTCATATCCACTTTCTAAAAATAGATACAGCTATGGGTATCCTTTCATAAGAAGTCAACGTAAAGTTAGAGGACCATGCATTTGAATAATATCCCAACACGAGTAACCTTCAAAAAAGTAGTTTGAAATGCATAAACTTGACTTAAAATATGAGCTAATTGCTAGAAGAGCTCATAGAAATAGTGCAAAAAAAGAGCTTATAGAAAAGAGAAAAGAAAATTTATCTTGTGATGTAAATAAGATAAAACATGATTAAAGTTTAGCACAGTGGCTTGGGTGTGAGTACAGTGACTCGACAATTGACCATGGGTAGCACAGAGTGACGATAGTACGTTTAGAGTTGAGTACAGTGACTCGGGGTACATATATTGACTCAGGTGAGTATGTTAACTCAATATTTTTCTATGTAATGAACAACGAACTTGATGGCCTCCTCTCAATTTTTTTCATACATATATAGCAATGAATAAATCTCTCGGATAGATGCAAAGTACGAATACTAAAAATCTAGGTTGAATTTTTTCTTGGCTTTGATGATGCTTGAGAGAGAAAAAATTTGAGTGGAAATGAGGAGATGATCACTAGGCTATGGAGAGGTAGGAAGTCTCAATTGATTTTTTTGGGAGTTGAATTTCTATGGGTTTTTGTTGGTAGATTGATGATGTGTACATATAGGATCAGCGGGTTAGTAAATAAGATGTGTGTGTGTGCGCGCGCGTGCGCGTGAGTGTATGTGTGAAATATGCTTCTAATGAGCCACCTTAGATTGAATCTAAGGATGCACCTTTCAATGTATGGATTGAGCTATTTCAATGGATGATTCATTACATTCATCATGATCCAAATGTCTTAAAACATCTACAAAAAAAATCATGGTATTTGAATATTTCTAACACGTCATTTTTATTGTCTCTTTGGTTGTGTTATCATAAAGCCGTTAATTTTATTTTCACTTGATGAATTAGTAACTTTTATTGTTATTAAGTTGATGCTGAACTGACCATCTTTGTCAGGAGCTTGTAGCTGAATTGTAGTTGGGGTAATTTTGAAAGAAAACCACCCCTAGTATGCTGGACCCCAAAGGGCAATTTTGGAAGATCATTGTTTGTGGAAAAATTCGATGTAAAAGAAATGAAAGAAAAACTAATTTGTATTATCTCAAAATCAATTACAATTTGGATCCTGTTTACAAAAGAGAGGAGAATGAATTTGATTATCCCCTTTGTTTAAAAACTGGGTTCTTCACGGTGGCGATGGAGTACCTCCCTCGAATGCTCGCGTCGAATTTTCTCTCCATTGACGATCCGAATATCTTGATTCACTGGAACGATTGTCTTCTCCTCACGATTTGACATTGTGGAGAACTCTGATGGTAAGTTTTAGAACTCTGGACGAGTTGATAACTCTGAACGAGTTTGAACTCTTGAAAAAGAGTTGATTTAACCGAATGTCGGTTATAAGCCAAGGATGAAGAAGCTCCTCCTTGCCGAACGTTGAAGATGATCTTCCTTATAGGATGATGCCGATCTCCTCAAAAGCTCGCCCAATGATCTCTCATGTTGCTACCAAACCGAGAGCCAAACCCCCTCTGCTTGAACCCCTGAATTGAATTGATTTTCAGTTATTTATAGAGGATTAAGAGGGTGTAACCGCCCTCCAAATATAGGAAACAGTTTTTGGAACTGTTCACGGGTTTAAGAGGTGTGATTCCCCCTAAAATCTCTCCATAATGGGGTGTAACCATCCCCATTAAGTGGAGATATGATTTTAAAACCGTTCAGGTTCTGTTTGAACCAGTCAAACACAAAAACGCGGGTCTGACCCTAGCGTTTTGATGTTGCAGCGCAGGTTCGACCCCAGCGTTTTGATGTTGCAACGCAGGTTCGACCCCAGCGTTTTGATATTGCAATGCGGGTTCGAACCTTACGTTTTAATGTTGCAACGCGGGTTCGAACCTCACGTTTTGATGTCACAACGCGGGTTCGACCCTAGTGTTTTAATGTTGACACACGCGGGTCCGACCCCAGCGTTTTGGTGTTGATGCGCGGGGATGACCTATGCGTTTTGGTCTTAGAGCGCGGTGATGAGTTCCACGCCTTGCTTCGAAGAGATTATCAACAAGTAATCTATTTTGTCATAGCGATGCAAAGATCATTGTCTTGTAATCTTCATCTTGGCTCCTTGAGAATATGAGAGTCGTCAGATTGTAACTCCCGATGTTGATTGTGAAGGCTTCTGGAAGTCGTCAGATTGTTACTTCCATCATTGGTGTTTTGATGGGGATCAACTATCTATTGTGATTTTTAGACAGTCAAACACAAAAACGCGGGTCTGACCCTAGCGTTTTGATGTTGCAGCGCAGGTTCGACCCCAGCGTTTTGATGTTGCAACGCATGTTCAACCCCAGCGTTTTGATGTTGCAACGAGGGTTCGAACCTCGCGTTTTGATGTTGCAACGCGGGTTCGAAACTCGCGTTTTGATGACGCAACGCGGGTTCGACCCTAGCGTTTTAATGTTGATATACGTGGGTCCGACCCCAGCGTTTTGGTGTTGATGCGCAGAGATGACCTCTGCGTTTTGGTCTTAGAGCGCGGTGATGAGTTCTGCGCCTTGCTTCGAAGAGATTATCAACAAGTAATCTCTTTTGTCATAGCGATGCGAAGATCATTGTCTTGTAATCTTCATCTTGGCTCCTTGAGAATATGAGAGTCGTCAGATTGTAACTCCCGATGTTGATTGTGAAGGCTTCTGGAAGTCGTCAGATTATAAGTTCCATCATTGGTGTTTTGATGGGGATCAGCTATCTATTGTGATTTTTAGACAGCCTACAGAACCCCCTCCAAAGTTTTTGAAAGTTCGCGGTTGACTGAGATGAATTTTTGGAATACTTTGGATCTTAACTCTGATCTTGGAGCTATTGATTCCTTGTGGTAAAGGATTTTTTCTCTGCACTTGCTTCTAAGGCATCTTGGTTGAAGGGATTTGCCACGTAGGATCTGTGTGAAGGTATGCGCCATAATTCTGCTTCTAGAATGTGGGGGTGGACCCTGTATTTTGAACTTGAGATGCGGGTCTCACCCTTGTATGTTGAATTTGGAACACGGGTGTGACCTCGGCGTTTGTTTTTTCATTGCGAGTCAGACCTTAGCGTTTTGACTTAAGACGTGGAAGTGGCTTCCGTGTATTTTTGACTAAGTTTTTGAGACTTGTCTTTAGCTCATCCGTTTCAAGTCTCGGCTCACATCTATTAAGCTAATGGACCTACGAACATGCATAAGATTTTTGACAAATCCTCAGCCATCAACGGATTTGATAAGCCTTTACCGACTATCGTTTGAGTCGGGCTAGCATATGAATTATTTGAATCCGTTTCACATGTAATGTTGTGCTAAGAGAATGAACCCTCTTAGGCTTGATGCTATGATTTTGAATATATAGACTTTGTCATTTTTATAAAAAAAGACTAACCGGTAACACGTGTTAGGCGTAGGCTTATCCTACCTAGGATTTGGGATAAAGTTCCCCATACGTATAAGGCATAGATTTCGGTGTTATTAATAACAACCTGCTACGATGTTGAATACGTGAGCTTTGCTATTATTACGGGAATAGGCTACCCGGCAGCATGTATTAGATACAGACTTATCTCTATTTAGAGATCAAGATAAAGTCCCTCATGCATGAAAGACATGGATTTTAATGCTACGATGTTGAATACGTAGACTTTACCACTGTTTCTTCCGTTGTTTCTTGAAACATTGAAAGAAAGTTGCAAACGCCAGAGGTGCAGTATTACCTTGGCATGAATATTCACTTAGAGTGAAATTCAGAAATTTTCTTTATTATCACTAGGATAATTCTAGAAAATTTTTAATCCGCTGGGGACTTTATAAATAAAAACTTGTTATTTTTGTTGAAAAAGGATTAACAAGTTCATTGGGGGTTTGACTGTTAGAGATGTGATGTTAACCTAACAGTATTTTTTGGGCCTACCGCTCTATTAAAGAGAGTCGATAAGTTGATTGTCAGAGGTTTGGTGTTAACATGACATGATTTGTGTTGTGATTGGAGCAACTTTATGGATTTATCATCCTATTAACGAGGATTGATAAGTGGATTGTCAGAGGTATAATGTTAACGTGATAGGAATGTGTTGCGATAGGAGCAACTTTGTGGACTTATCATCCTATTAAAGAGAATTGATAAGTGGGTTGTCAAAGGTATGATGTTAACATGACAAGAGAATATTACGATCAGAGCAACTTTGGGGACTTATCATCCTATTAACGAGGAATGATAAGTGGGTTATCAGAGGTATGGTGTTATCGTGACAAGGGAATATTGCGATCGGAGTAACTTTGGGGACTTATCATCCTATTGACAAGGATTGATAAGTGGATTGTCAGAGGTGTGATGTTAACGTGATAGGAATGTGTTGCGATCGGAGCAACTTTGTGGACTTATCACTCTATTGAATAGAGTCGATAAGTTGATTTTGTCAGAGGTAAGATATTAACGTGACAAGAATGTGTTGCGATCGGAGCAACTTTGTGGACTTATCATCTTATTGATGAG